TTCTCCAGGCTGAACACCCCCAGCTCCCTCAGCCTCTCCTCACAAGACTTGTTCTCCAGACCCCTCACCAGCTCCGTTGCCCTTCTCTGGACCTGCTCCAGCCCCTCAAGGTCTTTTTTGTGGTGAGGGGCCCAAAACTGGACACAGCACTCGAGGTGCCCAGTCCAGGGGGACCATCACCTCCTGAGTCCTACTTCACCACACTGTTCTTGTGCCATGCCATGATGCCCCACATTGTGCCATGCCGTGCCATTCTGTGCCATGCCGTGCACAGCCCCTTGCCAGCCCAGCCCCCTCACCTGGTCGACGTTTTTCAGCTGCACCCCCGTCTTGCCCCGCTCGTCCTTGCAGAGGTGGATCTCCCGCACGCCCGGCTTGATCTCTGCCCGCCGCAGCCCCGCGTTATTCCCGCTCAGGGGGGCGACCAGCTGGCCTGGGGAGGTCCCAGCGGGGGTCAGTGCCTGCAATGGGACCAGGGGTCAAGCAGGGCTGGTGAGGGCACGGGATCCCACCACATCAGCCCTCAGGAGGATGCTGCATCCCTTCTCTGGGCAGGATGTGGCCCCCATGGGACATCCCCGTCCTCAGCGATGCTGTGGCATGGTGGGGGGGGTCCCACGCTGCCCGCCGCAGCCCCGCGTTATTCCCGCTCAGGGGGGCGACCAGCTGGCCTGGGGAGGTCCCAGCGGGGGTCAGCGCCTGCAATGGGACCAGGGCTCAAGCAGGGCTGGTGAGGGCATGGGATCCCACCACATCAGCCCTCAGGGGGATGCTGCATCCCTTCTCTGGGCAGGATGCGGCCCCAGTGGGACCTCCCCGTCCTCAGCGATGCTGTGGCACGGTGGGGGGGGGTCCCATGCAAGGCAGGTGAGAGCCACCAGCCCAGACACCTACGGTGCTGTCATCCGGGAGCAGGTTCTTCTGGATCTCTTCGCTAGAGAGAGCAAGTCCCATGTAGTTCTCCAGCTCAGCCAGGTTGGGGTACAGCATGGGTGGTGCTGTGGGACACACCAAGAATGGCCTCAGCTCACCAGGTCCCCACCCCACAGCT